TGTTAATTTAAGAAAAAATCCATAGATTGCTCAAATCTAAAAGTATGTTGAGTTTTTTAAGATACATAGGAACACAATGGAGATTGTAATGAACCTGAATTTTGTGGAATGCAGAAAACAAACTGTAACTCGCAGGTACTGTGCTGCTTGTGAATGGAACCTTTAGTAGTAAATGTAAGTTGAAATTGAGGAAATTTGAGAGAGAACTTGGGAAAAAAACTTCTAGATTTTGTTGCTTTCTATTTGCCTTAAAATAACATCTGCCTGAGTGTGCTGTTAAGTTTTATTTTGATGGCATTTGTACTTCAACCAAACAAATGAGACCAGTAATAGAAAATGTGACAGTAGTTATAGCTATGTAGATAATAAAACATAAGCATGTATTTGTTGTATTTAATTTAATTATCTGAGGTGTTTTAAGCAATCAGTACAGTTTTCCTGAAGATAATATTTTCTCTTTTCCCAATTAAGGATAAATGAACAACACCCTTCTGAGAGAACTGAGCAGTGTTTGAATTTAATTTGCAGCAGTTGTTGGAGGATTAAAGTAATATCATTAACTGGCCTCATTTAAATTTTATGGTCACCTGAGAGATGGTAGACAGATGTCAAAAGGGATTTAGCCATACAGCATGAAAACAGCTTTCTAGTTTAACTTTCTTGATTTTGAAGATTTCTTTACAAGAATGGAGCTTTTTTTTTTTGTCACACTTGGGTACCTTTTGATGGCTCTGTGTTATGTTGCTTGCTGTCAGTCAGCACTTCATGACATTAAGGATAATGTGCATGATGTTACTTTAAATAATTATAATGTACTTTATTGACATGTATGTGGCATTAATCTTGGAGGTTGATGTTTGATTTTGATATTTCATTTTGATAAGGTATGCAGGGTACACTGTAGGCAGGCTGCTTTTTTTGTGGGTACGGACACATGAGTGAGATGCTTTAAGTGCCTTCTCTTACCATAAAATGGTGATCATTGTGTCACCTCAGGAGTGGTGATGTACCTTGTGAATGACTCTGTATATTTTCTTTAAATGTATAGAAAACAGGTTGGCTAGGTCATACTAAGGTACAATCTGCAGAGTGACTCTCAGACCAACTTCCACAGTTGCACAGTACAGTAGGATTTTATCATGTGCTACGTGCTGTGTTGAGCACATCTAGAAATATATGGTGTTTTACTAGTTCATAGATTGGTTATGTGATGCTTAAATTCAGTATAAAATTAAACTGTTGCTGTGAATGAGGCTTGTATGTTTGTACAACTCAGTGTGGGTTATGTCTTCAGTGTGTGAGAATTCACTTAATGTTTGAAAACTGGGGATCTGTGTTTCTATCAGAGAATATCACAGAATGGCCTGGGTTGAAAAGGACGACAGTAATCATCTGGTTTCAATCCCCTGCTATGTGCAGGGTTGCCAACCAGCAGACCAGGCTGCCCAGAGCCACATCCACCTGGCCTTGAATGCCTGCAGGGATGGGGCATCCATAACCTCTTTGGGCAACCTGTTCCAGTGTGTCACTGCCCTCTGTATGAAAAACTTCCTCCTAATATCTAACCTAAACCTCCCCTGGCTCAGTTTAAAACCATTCCCCCCCCATCCTGTCACTATCCACTCAAATGCGTATATGGGTGTGTTCTAAATAGGTGTATGCTACCTGTTGCAGGATGTGGATCCTGACGTTTTCATCGCATTAGGAGCCCTTAAGAAGCTGTGGTTTCTGAGTATGTTTCTTTTAATATCTTTTTAGTTAGACCTACTTTCAGAAGCAGAGCTCTGGGGCATCCTATTCATTTACAGAATCCTGGGGGGTGCCTGATTTTAATGCCACTTTGATTTTATCTGGTGTGTTTCTTATTGAGGTCTTGCAGCTTGGGGAGTGAGTCCCTGCGAGCTAATGCTTACTGTGGTTACATAGGGTATTTCCTGTCCCTCAAGTATAGCAGTACTTGCTGTGTGTTTTTTTTATCAGTGTGTTTGCTGTGGTTTAAGAACTTCGGTGTTTTTCAGTCCTGCCAGCGGTTTGTGAAAAGTCAAACACAGATAATAGTTTATGGGAATAGAGTAAGAATGAACAGAATTCTGTGGTGGTAACCTTGTCAGACCAGTGGGTGGAACTGACTGATAAATAAAATCAGGGTAGCAAAAGCAACATATTCTTTCACAGCTGTCTTCTACAACAGAAACCTCATTTTGCTAATACAGTGTTTAATGTAAGAGTAAACTTTGTGTTGATATGCAGCATTGAAACTTGGAGACTTTGTCTGTCCTTACTGTCTAAATAGGCTTCAATGATAATAATAATAACAGTTAGGCAAATTCTTTGTATTGTATTGCTGTGCAAAAGGTTGATACAGATATAGTTATCTGCACAAATAGTAGAATGAATATGTGTTTAAGTGTGGAAGTATTAAAGCAAGATGGAAACTCTCAAGCCAAGAATTGTTACGGCAAAGATACTGGGATTTTATTTTATGAAGCTGTATTAAGTAGACAAAATGACATTGTCCTAACACATTTTTGGTGAAGATGGTAGTGCAATATTTCCAAGGGGCCAGGGAGCAAAAGTCACGCATATAAGGAAAGGAATAAATGCTGTAAATATCTTTATCTCAGGACATGGGGGTAGGTTTTAAGTGTTCGTGCATCTCTGCACAGAAATCAATTCATTCATGCCAAAAAATCACGGAATCACAGAATTGTAGGGGTTGGAAGGGACCTCCAGAGATCATCGAGTCCAACCCCCCTGCCAAAGCAGGTTCCCTACAGCAGGTCGCACAGGTCGGCATCCAGGCAGCTCTTGAACATCTCCAGAGAAGGAGACTCCACCACCTCCCTGGGCAGCCTGTTCCAGTGCTCCGTCACCTCACTGTAAAGAAGTTCTTGCGCACATTTGCGCAGAACTTCCCATGCTGCAGTTTCCAGCCGTTTCCCCTTGTCCTGTCTCCATTCACCACTGAAAAGAGTCCGTCCTCGCCATTCTGCCCCCCACACCTTAGATATTTATAGACCTGGATCAGGTCCCCTCTCAGTCTTCTTTTCTCAAGGCTGAACAGACCCAGTTCACTCAGCCTTTCTTCATAGGAGAAATGCTCCAGGCCCCTCACCATCTTTGTGGCCCTCCGCTGGACTCTTTCCAAGAGATCCCTGTCTTTTTTGTACTGGGGAGCCCAGAATTGGACGCAGCACTCCAGATGAGGCCTTACCAGGGCAGAATAGAGGGGGAGGATCACCTCCCTCGACCTGCTGGCCACACTCTTTTTAATGCACCCCAGGATGCCATTGGCCCTCTTGGCCACAAGGGCACACTGCTGGCTCATGGCCAACCTGTCATCCACCAGGACACCCAGGTCCCTCTCCGCAGAGCTCCCCTCCAGCAGCTCATCCCCCAACCTGTACTGGTGCATGCAATTATTCCTCCCCAGATGCAAGACTCTACGCTTGCTTTTGTTAAACCTCATCCGGTTTTTTTCTGCCCAGCTCTCCAGTCTGTCCAGGTCTCACTGAAAGGCAGCACAGCCTTCAGGCATGTCAGCCAATCCTCCCAAGAAACGTGTTAACTTGAATACTGCATGCAGTTGCTATCCTGTAATTTTTTATGGGAACAAAAAGGCAACCAAAATTGGTGTCAGATTCCATATGAAGATGAAAAATGCCTAGGGATCTTCATCCTGAATGGGAATATGGAAAAAGAAAATGCTGATGGATGATCAGTGATTTTTTTTTTTTTTTTTTTTTTTCTTTTCTGTCTTGTAACATAGAAGTTGGGGAAAAAAAATGATCAGCCACTTGATTGTCATCAAATGAAAGCAAAGATTTGTATCACACAGTGAATTTCTGGAACTCAGAACTCTGAGACTCTATAGTACCAGGGATACAGTTGTGTCCAAAGTATTTTGACAAAATTGGTGGAGATAGAAGTCGCTGTTAAATGGAAGGCTATGAATGCAGCTTTGTGCTTGGGAAATTCTGGCATAAACAGAATTCAAGAGAAGATACTGGGGACAGATCCATGTGGGAAGGAGGAGAAATGTACATAGAACATTTGCTAGAAGGCAGCTTTTGCCTCCATGTCATGCCCAGGTGACAAAGATGATTTTTTTTCTGTTTTTTGCTGATGGTTCAGGGTGTAAATAGCTTTCTTCAGTAGAAACATTTTTCTTCAGAAGATGATCTTCAGGGCTCTGTTCTCGGGGTCAGTGCATTTGTTATTTTTACACCAGCTGCAGTTCCTATAGGCTGTGCTGGTTCTGCTGGCAGAAATCTGAATCACTTTGTTATTCTTGCTAAAAAGTTAAAACAAAAGCACCCTTAACTCTTAACTGTGTCTTTGAATCTTCTATGTGAAATGAAGAGCTAGGGCAATCCCTAAAATAGCAAACAATATTTTTTCAGGTGGCTTTTAATTATATTTCTACTATTTTTGTTCATACTTGAGAATGTGTGGTGTCTGTCAGAATCTCTTTTCCTCTCGATGCTATGAGGGGTACAGTGTGAAGATTCTTGGCTAGGAAAGATAACTTTGAAAAGAATAGCTTTCGTCCGGTTTTTGGGATGTAGCTTTAGAAGTTTTAGATTGTTGACTACAGGTTTGTGCTATGTTTTCAATTTGTTCTTTTTTAAATATGAAGTCTTAAGTATGTAATTGAATAACTGCAGTACCGTTGAAAAAATCAGTTAGCTATTCAAATCGGTAGATTAAAAATGCGCACCCTTTATAAAGCTTATCTTTAATGATATAGAGGAAGAGAAAGAATAGGCAATTTAGGCAACAAAAGCCTAGGTGGCGGGGAGTGACGACTGAATAATATATTACTGCCAAATAGCTGCTGCTCTACTATTGTTTCTCTGGATATCATAAAGTGTGAGTTATTTTGTACAGTTACGGTGTAGTTGAGCACATGGATGTAGTAAACATAGATGCGAATGCACGTGAAATTATATTGTTTTGTGTTATTGCTGATGGTCTAATACATTCTTTCTTTTTCCTAGATTCATACACCCTCTGAGGACCAATGTACCCAATAGCTCATGGAAGAAAAAAATCAAATCAGGACATCCTTGGTTTCCAGGCTACCAAAATATGGAACGAAAACTTTAGGAAGCGTATTGCAACCGACGTCAAATGGGACAGCTGTTAATTTAGCAGGGAATAATGGTGGCAAAAATTTCAGCAAGCACAATGGCACTGTTAACATGTCTTCCTTCTCTTTCAACTGGAGAAAATCAAGTAAATATCAGCTTCATGATCAAAATGAGAGAGAGACTAACTCTAAACAAAATTGTAATGACAAATTAATTGATTCTGAGAAGTATTCTCAGTCTCAAGGAGCATTGAGTAATGATATGCTCAGGGTGGGTTTGAACAATACTGCTTCAGTTGGGTCAAAAACAGCAAAGCAAAACAATATGTTTGTATCTTCTACTGAGGAATCAAACCCAAAGTCTTTGCCTGGACTGTCTAGTTCAGCAAAATTCGCCAAAGGTGCCCTGTCAGGAAGGACCTCATATTCTGGACTCAGTGCTCCAAAATCACACTTAAATGGATTTTATGGTAATCGGCCAATGGTAGGTTTGCAGAGACCTAGGGCAAATTCCAATGCCTCAAGGACAAGTTCAGGAGAAAGCCTTGTACACTCTACAGACAATAGCAAGTCTTCTTCCTGTGAAAAAATGGTAAGATCACAAAGTTTTTCACATTCCATTCAGAATGCTTTCCTCCCCACTGCATCGTTAACCAGGTCACATTCCTTTAATAAAGCTGTGGATCTTACAAGGCCTTATCATAGTCAAAATCTAGCTGCTAGGACATCTCAGAGGTCAGCTCTGTGGTCAAGAAATGCAAGACAGTTGGATGTACCCAATGGAAATGAATCTGTGAAGTATGGATTTACAAGGCCATACTCTAGTATATCATCTCCTTGCACAAAGAAGTCCTCGCTGTCAAATGGATCTGGGTCAGCACCTTCTTTTGGATACAGATTAAGTCGGCCTTCTCTGTTGAAGCCTACGGGCCAGCGGTTTGCTGGAAATATTATTGTGGATGGTGGCAAAAGTACAACTTCTGACACGTATATAGTGGAGAACTCTGACATATCAACAAATATAAATAGAACAATTGAGAAAAATAGCATTTTGGAGAGTAATGCTCAAAGAACAGAATCTGTTGAAGGCCTTCGTGAAAGCATGGGAAAACATGGATCAAGTGTCATGTGTATGAGCGATGATGGAGACGAAATATCTATATCTTCTTTGTCGTCCTCTGAAAAAAATGACTTGAGTGAAGACTTCAGTGATGATTTCATAGATTTAGAAGATCCAAATAAAACAATACAAGTACAGCAGAAGGAGAGCTGCATTCAAGAGTTAGAGCACGGGAGCATAACATCAATAGAGCCATTCGCTTCTCTCAAGGAAAGTGAAGGATCTTGCTGTAATGCTGATGACTGGCTTGATATAAATGTGTCTGGTAAATACTTTGTTGCATTTGATTTGAAATTTTTGGTACTAAAATGAAGATTCTGTAATTGCTATTAAGTTACTTTATATGTTTAACCGTTCTGTTTTTTCATAACAGAACTGTACTCACAGTGCATCTTCTGCATGATAGTCATCTTCTTCAAGCATGACTTTTTTTTTAGGAGCTCTTTGGAATAAGAATTAATGGTAGCTCCTTTAGCTACTCTCATGGAAAGGTGGTGGAATTCCTCTTAGCCTTGTTTTGAGATACACTTATTTTGGATTAGTGGTTTCTGCTTTTTTCTCCTCTCTATAGGGAGAGAACAGCTGTAACTGCTTTAAGTAGTGGGAATAAGTGCAGAGTGTCTTATTTAATTAGTTAATTTTTAAAATTGGAGTGTTACTGGTTTTCTTCTAGTGGCATGCTGTATTAACTCCTAAGGGCAATGAGAGAGAGAGAGAAGGTACTTTAAAGTCTTTTTCACATCCCTGATGGACTTTCATGATACAAATCTATGTTGAAAGACTTTACAGTTGAAAGTTTGCACTTAACTTTTGAACCCACTTTATTAAAATCTTTGTTAAAAAGATACAGAATTCTGAAAGATGAGTTTTCTTGAGGGATATATTACTGCATTGTAAAATGTTAGCAAAGATGTAGGTTGAAAGGATTCTTAGTTATAACTTCCAGTCCAGCCTGAACTTTTTACTTCCTGGGGTGAGTGGTGTTAATAATATATAATGCTTGTGTTTAGAATTTGTTAGAATATGATTTGGAAATACTAAAACATGAATAATGCATGCTTTTCTTTCTTTATTTTGGAATATTTGATTGTTTTTGATTGTTTTTTTTTGTTGGCTGTTTTTGTTTTCTTTAAGCAATGGATGACAACAGTGAAAGCACAAAGCACACTGCCGAGAGCGTGATTTCTCCAGAGATGAATTACAGAGCTGGGTCCTCTTTTGAGCTTTCTCCTTCTGATAGCTCTGATGGCACGTATATGTGGGATGAAGAGGGACTGGAACCTATTGGAAGTGTCCATCCATGTGGAAGTTATGAGTCATCAGAAATGAACAGCATAGTATGTATTTGTGTATAGCCTGAATATTTGTAATTTTTTATTGTCTATTGCTGAACTATATTTTAGAAATAGAATTAATTTATTTTTACTTGGTAACTGTTTCTTCTCACCTCTGTAGTTGACAGATTTCTGAAACTTCTTGTTAAGGAATTTCTGTTTCTAGACAGATGGCCTTGAAACAGACTGTTTACATACATGTCTTCCTCATTCTCAAGTTGTAACAAAATAGATCAATCCTCATGCAATTTCATGGTAGCACTCACCATTTCATTCAGGCTTTGATTTCCTATTTTACTGGGGTTGGCTATGCTAGCCCTCAAGTCAGAACAGGATTTTCTTTATCCTTATAATGCTAAATATCTTTTACCAATCTTTAAACCTAAGAGTGAAAAAGCAAGATCATAGCAAATATCTGTCTTCTGTTGCCTTGTTTCTAGTCTGTATCTGCTCATGATCCTTTTGAACACAAACTTATTTTCATTTGTCAGTTTGTTCTAACGTAGTATCTTTGAAGTAGGTACCTGGCTGTAGTTTGTCAGGTGAGCTGGACTATTTGTATGTCTGGAATACATAAGAGGAACTACTGTTCTTTTTTTTTTTTTTTTTTTTTTTTGCTAAACATTACTGATCTGAATCAGACATCATTCCATCTGGAGTGGATGGAGAGTAGTAGAAGTCCCCCAGCTGACATAAATTAGCCAACCTCTGGATTCTGGCAGCCTTGATGAAAATACTGTTTGTTTTTCATCCCTTTTTCACAGAAACACTGTTCATATTTACTTATGAGTTGTTTAAGACTGTTCAGATTTTATTAACATTACACTAATAATTTGAAACTTCTAGCAACATCTGTGTATAATTGATTGGCTTCTCGTGCTTAAGTTTTGGGAGTGTTAGGTACTGCCAATAGCAGTACTGTAGAAGCTGTAGTACTGTGGTACTAATTCAGGCTTTTATTTCTTATTTTACTGGGGTTGGCTATGCTAGCCCTCAAGCCAGAACAGCATAGAACTGGCCTGTAACTAGGGCATGGCTATCTAATTATACTGTTAGGTATGACTACATACAAATTTCTGGTGTATTTTCAGCCCCCTATGGTAGAGTTTATTTTCTGTCTTAAATTATGGTCCTGGGGTGTGGTGCCTAAAAGAAAGTTTAGAAACTTCACATGGTAATTATGGCTGGCTTCAAAAAGCACTGATATTTTCCCAGCATGAACTTTTTACAGGAAAAAGTTTAGTGTAAAAACAAATGCCCATCTCCCTGACACACACATGAAGGCACCAGGAAAAGTTCTTGAACTTTCTTCTTGGTGAATTTTAAATACAGATATTTGTATAAATTCCACTATGTGTATCGTAACAATTAAGTTACAACGTCCACTTGCTTTTGGACTGTGGAATTTGTTTGATACACATGATCTGCATATATTAATTCATGCAAGGGTATGAACTGATGGTCAGTCATAGATGGTCTGTCGGATTAATAGAAGCTGTTGTAAGGCTCGTACAGCTGAGGTACATTAGGTTCTTCTGATATTTTTTCAATATTTTATTGAAGAATAATCTGATTTCAAATGGATTATGAAATAGTAATTGAAATCTGGCTTGAAAGAGATGGATTTTTAGCTGCTTTGCTTAAAATTTATTTGCTCTTGGTGTGAAATCCACTGAAATCTCAGAGTGAATCTGTTTTGTCACTTACTGATGTGACTAGAGTTTCAGCCACGGAGTCTAAGATGGTTGTTTTTCTCTTTTTTAATATCTCATATTTGTAGATTTTTTTTTTTTGTTTTGCTTTCCCTTTGTGATTGAATTTTTGTGATAGAATGTTCCTTCCTTGGGTTTCAGAACTAGTTTGAGAGTGTGCAGGATGTTTTATGGCCCTAAGGACGTGGCTAGTCTGGGAAATATGCTTTTTAAATTTGCATACATGTTACAGAAAATAAGCTTGCAGAAATAACACTGTGTAATATTCAACCTGTGGTACTCACTGTTTTCTTACAGTTATCTTAGTTGCAAGTAATTGAGCATTGCTTTATTTTTTTTAATAATTCACTTTTCTACATGACATGGATAATCTTTTAAATTGACTTTCCTTTTTCTGTTGTACTTTCTGTCCAGTGGGTTAATGCCAAATCCATAGCTCTTGTTCTGTGGGAAGGTGGACTTGTAACAAAGTAATCCAGAATTTCCAGCTTTAATAAAAATACAGCTGCAAGTAAGATTAAGATAATGTACAGCTATGGAATAAAAAGGTTTTTTGGATAAATGTAAGGATTCTTTATAAAGTAGTATTTTGTCTTCAAACTTTACCATGTGAGATAAACATCACTTACCCAGTGTTTGTTTCTTTTTTTTTTTTTAATTGAGCTCTATGATACTTTCACAAAGTGCTAAATTTATTTTGTAAACAGTACAAATTTTCAGTGCTCATTCCAGATATGTAAAAATTGCATCTTCATACTGTGCTGGCAGCACTGTGTAACATCCATTGGAAATGTTCAGAAAGACTTCATCTTGAGAACTAAAAGAAGTGTTTGTAGATTTGAACACAATTTAAGTAGTATAATGAAAATGAGGCATGGTTACATCAGGGAACCTTTCGTCAAAACAATTGCTGATTTAATGAGGTGTTCAGTACAGAGTATTCAGAAGGTCCCATGCTTCATTTTTCTTCTTCAAGAGGTTTTAGTGAAATGAAGTGCATGCATTTCCTCCATGTAGGCACTTTTTTTTTTTTTTTTTTTTTACCAACAACTTCTTGAAAAAGAAGAGCTGTGAAATGAGAGCCCTTCAGGTGCAAGCTAGTTATGAGAATCACACTTAAAAAGCAGGTTATGTCTAATGAGCTAATTTAAACTAGATTTTTTTCTGCATTTCATGCTGCAAGTGAAGTGTCTAAGATTTTAAGAAGTTGAAGGTAAAATTAAAGAAATGTATATTTTAATGTAAGGTCTACATTTCCATATGAAAGAATATATGTAATTTTAGTACTGAAACAAAGACTCTTAAATGTATTTAGATTTTGATGGTATCTTTATGTAAGCCATTACTGAATCCCTGGATTTCCAAAATCTGAGGCTTCTCCCCCTCCCCCCATTCCTCTGCTTGCTTCTCTCTTTGCAATTTAGTGTTAAGATGCCCCATTATTAGGGGTGTGCCAGTCAGGAGCTAACTTGCATGCCGCTTGGCTTTGGCCACTCTTCCACCCCTATGAGGGAATAGAATCAGCTGAATGTTTCTGATTGCTGATGGGTTGTGTCTACTTGCAATTAGTATATAAAATATCTCTGTCTCTACAGTGGAAAAATTCCAGCTGATCTACAGAGCTTTGTGACCTTGAGCAAGTCTCACGGAGCTCTGGGTCTCACTTATCTATCTTTAGAATGATGGGTAAATTAAGAATGAATAATAGCACTTCATGTTGTAATCAGTGTATTTAATAGTACTGATGTATTTGTACCTCATGCTCAAAGTTAGGTTAATCAAGAGGAGGGATTTCTTTTGATTTATTCCCAGTGCATCACAGCTGAAGGTGAAGTGCTTATGTCCAAGTTCCACACTGACATCTCATGCTGTATTCCAGGCTCTTATAGAAATGAAACTGAGGACTCTTGAATAGTACTGTCTTAACTCGGTATTCTAACTTCATATTTTTGATATAATTGCTTTCAGTTTTCCCATATTACAAATACAGAGATCTCTGGCATGTGTTTTTCATACCCTCAACATCAACAATTCTGACTCCCCTCTCCCTCCCCCCAGAAATCATCGCTTTCAGTTATGCTTATAAAATTATATTTGGAGCAGAATATTATTTATATTATATACTGTAATATTTCAGCAATATTAATTTTCTTACAGAACTAAGTGTATGTACTTGTTTCAGAAGGTTCTGCTAGCAGTGCTGTTAGACCATTTATTCTTTCAGGAGACTTTGGTGGCTGTCAGTTTTCTGATCATGGCATAGATGAATGTCCTGAAAGCAGAAGCTGTGACTTTAGAGGTACTGCATCGGAGTGAAAAATAGCCATTGTCTGCCCTCCCACCACTGTGTGGCCTCCAGATTTAGAGCTTAATGATTACAGCAGTGGGAGGCAGTAAAAAACTGCATTACTTAAATGAGATGACATTTCTGTCTGTGTCTTGTGTGATGTAGGTGTCCCTGCTGCCAAATATTATTAAGAGGCTATATGAATATGTTACAGCACACAAACATCTTGTGTTGCTTTGAAAGGCATAACATTTTATGAACAAGCTTTTATGGTAAATTAGTTTTTCCTTTGGGATAGGAGAGCACATGCCTTTGAGAGCTGTGTGATTCAGAACTGACACGGTAAATATTCTCACACTGTTTTGGTTGGTAAAATGAAGCAAGGCAACCTCACTTGAGCTTCCATATTTCATTTGCAGTGGCTGCTCATTTCTGTGATGGAGAGAGTGAGCAGCAGATGTATTGAGTGCAATATGATAAATGCTGGTAGAAATTAACACTTGCTTTATTTCATGAGCTTAAAGTGAGGTTTCCAATATGACTTTATAACTGTGTGTACAAGTACAATGTTGTATTTTAATGTGAGTTTAGAATGATTCCTTACAGTGGTTTTCTTTATTCTACCAAGTAGTTCACTTTTTTTTTTTTTTTTTTTCAGTAACAGAAGAACTTCAGATTTACTCTAATGTGCTTCAAACTAATTGTGTTGCTGTGTTTTTTCTTAAGGAATTACAGTGTTTTATTTATTCTGTAAAGGGTGTTTCTGAGTACACAGCATTTTGTTGTTGTGGTTTTTGTTCACTCTGAAATATGCCAGGATAATGTAGTGAGAATGTAATTTTGCAGCAGTGCAAGTCAGAGGATGGGTTAAAATAGAATAAAAACCTCAAACAATTCCTAGCTTTTTTTGTCCTTCAATTATACCTGAATTAGTATAGAGTAAGAATAATATACCTGAATAAGAATAGAGCACATTGATACTATGTAATGTTGTAGTCAAGTAA